AAAAAACCCGATTTTTGAGCAGTGAGGAGGCGGTACTCACTGGAGAGCTTTGCATCGCAGCAGGACAGGGAAGAGGGTCCTCAAGCTGCCGCTGTCCAGGTTGCAGGAGGTCAGGTTCAGCTCCTCCACCTCGTGACACGTGGTGCTCATGACAGACGCCAGCACGGAGCACTTGAGAGGGGTCATCTTGACGGAGGAGAGGTTGACAGCACGGAGGGAGCGGATGGCCTCGGCCGTGAAGCGCTCGTTCTGGAACTCGTGCAGGAAGAACAGGTAGTCCATGAGCTCCGAGGGGGGCAGGCCCCTGCGGCCCTTCCTGATCACCGTCTTCTTCATGGCCTTGGCGATCTCAAAAGCTGCCAGGTTCTTGATGGAGCAGCCCAGCTGCTCCAGGATGGCGCGGTTGCGGCGGGAGAGGATGCCACCCATGAAAATGGGGAAGAGCTCGAAGACCTCATCATCCGGGGCCTCATCGGGGTGGCGCATGGGGCCCTCCACGCCCAGGATGCTGGAGTTGATCTGGTCCAAGACATCATCGTTGTAGTAATCCTCCTCTTTGAACAGCTCCTCTGCCATGGTGTGGGCAATGGTGTCCCTGTCCTTGCCGCCCACCCGGGAGAAGTAGCGAGGGAAGATCTTGAGCAGGTTGAAGAGCACGGGGAGGAAGCGCAGGGGCAGCACCTTGGAGACGATGTTCACAACCACAGCCACGTCCTCGCTCACCTTCCCGAGCACCTCCGACAGCTCCTTCCCCACTCTCTGGGCCAGGGTCTTCTTCTCGCCCAGCACCACGTACAGGGCTGCCAGGTACTCCTGCATGGCGGGGATGGTGAAGACAAAGGTGTGCTCCTTGCCCGGCTGCACGCACGGGCTGAGGAAGAAGCGGAAGACGTCGCTGCGGAAAACCTCCAGGAGGTTGAGCTCGCTTTCAGTCTTCATCTCCACCTCGAAACACTCCCGCAGGTCCTCCTCCGAGAAGCAGGTCTTGCGGGACATCACCCCCTCGTAGGCCAGCTTGCCCACTGTCTTGGCCACGTACTTCATCATGGAGATGTGGGTGGGGTCGGTGCTGTCCAGCACCTCCCCGCTGAAGTTGAGCCTCAGGAAGCTGGTGTAGATGCCAGTGAGGGTCTGGCTGGGAGGAACCGTCCTGGTGAAGTAGAGGAAGTGCAGCGTGGTGCACACCAGCCAGCAGTAGGAGGGCAAGAAGCAGGCAGCCGTTATTTGGTTGTGGCGCTCCAGGTTCCTCGACAACATCTCCACCAGGTTCTCCTGCTCCGCTGAGCGGCGGTGCTGGCTCTCCTCTCCGGAGCAGCCGGGCTGGCTGAGGCGCATCTGGAAGTAGAGCTTCTGCAGGTTGGTGTCGGAGAAGCCGCAGATCTCGGCGTAGCGCCCCACGTACTTGCCGGGGATGCGGCGCACGGCCGACGGGCGTGTGGTGACGATGATGCTGGCCTGGGGACACAGCGGGGCGTGAGGCTGGGGCTGCTCAGCAGGGCGCAACCCACTGAGAGGTGCACAAGGATCACCCCGTCCGCAGGGTGGGGTTCACAAAGGTGCTGCACAAAGGGCGCTGGATCAAACCTGGCCCAGGCAGAGGGGACAGAAGAATTTTCCCCATTTCCTCCTAGACATAAAGTCTGGAAGATCACAGCCTTCATTACCTTACCAGGCCCCCCCAAAGATCCCACCAGTGACACGAGGCCACCTTGGCAAGCCCCTCCAGGAACAGAGGCTGCCTGCTTGCTCCCAGCCAAGCTGGACTGCAAACAACGATCACAACAGCCCTGGGCTGCCTCAGGGCTCACCCCCAACCTTCTCCCAGCACGAAGCAGGGCAACACCAACCTCGGGCAGCAGGTATTTCCGCAGCAGGTTGACCACAATGGCAGAGGGAGGCACGGGCTCGTTGGGGTCACAGCACAGCTCCGTGCCAGCCAGGCGGAAATCCAGGTTGAGGCGCTCCAGGCCGTTGAGGATGAAGAGCACCCTGAGGTTGGAAGCTTCCAGAACTGGCACCACGTCCCGCAGGTGCTGGTACTTCTTGGTGACGAGGCGCCGCAGGGACACGTGGGCGTGGCTGTGGGACAGGTCCTCGCAGGAGAAGGGGATGACCAGCTGGAAGTGGGGCAGGCGCCCGTGGCACCAGTCCACCACCATCTTCTTGATGAGGGTGCTCTTGCCCGTGCCCACGGTGCCGTAGAGCACCACGTTCTTCACCTGCCGCCCGCAGGCGTCCACATCAAAGAGGTTGTGCAGGCTGATAACCTTCCTACAGGGCTGCTGGAGCTGGTTCTGGATGGTTAAATCGGGGGAGGGCTTCAGAATCTCCTCCAGGGAGCTCTCCCGGATCACTGGGTCCACGTGGACGGCATCCAGAGAGAAGGAAGGGCCGAACTGCCTCTCCTCATTGGGCTGGTGGCTGAACCACGCAGACAGGCTCTTCTGGTGCTTCTTGATGGCACCTGGAAGGAGGAAGGTGACATGGACAAGGGTTGCTCACTGGCAGGGCACTGGGGAAGTTGCCTGGCCCAAGCCACTGCAGAGAGGGGACAGCACCCAGTTATGGGGAGCCCTCACCCTGCCCAGGACAGCAGCTGCCCCCACCCCGCTGTGTAGGACCCTCCCTCCAGACCAGAGCTGCAAACTCACCGGAAAAAGCCACGTTCCTCAGCTGGGACTGACCATGGTGAGAGGAGCTGGGCTGGGCAGAGCTGTCCTGGGAGTCTCCCTGGTACTGAACACAGCCCCTGCAGGAGGAGGGGAGTGTCACAGGGAGCAGCTCCAAACCCTGCCAGGGCAGGGCGGGCAGAGCACCAGCGAGGCTGTGGGAAGTGCTGAGAGGAGCCAGCTCACCCCTTCCTTCCCCCACACCACGGGAGGGCTCAGGGCAAGGTAGGGGCACGGCTGGGAGGTGAGGGCAGGTCAGCAAGGCACGGGCTGTGCCTTCCCAGAGAAGCCGTGCAGAGGCAGGGGAGGTGGGCTGGAGTCAGAGCAGGCAGGGAGGTTGGTCTGGGTGTTTGTCTAGGTGGAAGCAAAGCAGCGTCCCTGCTGCCAAGGCAGCCAGCTCAGCCACCCAGGTGCTGTGACAAAGATCCCCAGCCGTGTGACACTGACTGTACCTGGGGAGGGAGATGCTGCTCGGGCGAAGGATCCTCCTGAGGAAACACCTGCCTGCACCGCCTGCTGGGGAGGAGGAATGCACACAGTCAGGGACCCAGCAGGGCTAACCCCACCCTGCTAGGGTGCCCCACAGCCCTGCACAGCTGGGGAGGGGTGTCCAACAGGGCTGAGTGCCCGAGGCACAGCGCCCAGCTCACCTGGCACGGCAGCAGCACACAGAGACACGCTGCGGGTCCCCCTTGTCCCCGCCAGGGACCGCGGCAGCCGTGCCCAGCTGCCCCAGGGCAGGCAGCTCTGGCACTGCATGGCCCGGGACATCCTCCACCTGAAACACAGGGGGGTGGCGAGGGGGCTCAGCAGAGCACAGGGGGCTGCGGGATGGGCTGCAGCAGGGCCCTGCCCAGCCTCACCTGCCCCAGCGTGGTCCAGCCCGGCAGAACCGGCTGCGCTGCCGCTGACTCAGGCTCCCGCCCCAGCAGGGCTCAGCAGGGCGATCCTTCAGGAGCCCGGGCAGCACTCACAGCCCCCAACATCCCGGGAAACTGAGGCAGAGAATGGGAGGAGAAAGATATAAGCAAACCGCAGCCGAGAGGAGGCGACAAGCAGGGTGACAACTCGCTGACACCTCCCACGCACCACGCTGTTTACAGCCCCTCTTTATGCGATCCAGGTGGAGAAACTGAGGCACAGGAACGGGGGGAGAGGAGCTGACCTTGAACACAGGTGTCCCGACCTCGGTGCCCCTGCAGGCACAAACCCCACGCTGTCCCCTGCCCGCTTCCCAGCCCCTCTGCTGAGCCGAGGGCCCTGAGCTGCCGCTGAGCCCTTCCAGGGACCCCTCCGGGGACCCCCGTGTCCCGGTGGCGGAGGTGCCCCCGCCGCTGTGCCCTCCCGGCTCCCCGCTCCATGGCGAGGCCGCGGCGGGGCGGGGAGCGGCGCCGGGGTTACCTCGTCCTGCCGGATTCCAGCCGGGAACGCCGAGCTGCCCGCGCTGGATGTGCCCGGAGCTGCCCATCCGCCTCCTGCCCTGCCTGTCCCGGGCACGGCTCCGCTGCGGAGGCGGCTGCTTCGCAGGCAGAACTTCCTGCAACGCCATCCCGCCCTGGCCCGCCCCGCACACGGCGCTGCCAGCTCCCCGGGCAGGACGGGAGAGCGGCTGCAGGCTGGGAGAACACCCGCACCCTGCTCTGCCAGCTCCCGAACACCATGGGAGAGCGGCTGCAGGCTGGCACAACACCCGCACCCTGCTCTGCCAGCCCCCCAACACCATGGGAGAGCGGCTGCAGGCTGGAAGAACACCCGCACCCGGCTTTCCCAACTCCCCGAGCAGGGTGGGAGAGCGGCTGGAGGCTGGCAGAAACACCCGCACTCCCCACGGCCTCCCAAACCTGCAGGACTGGGGAGCTGCGCTCTTACCAGATGTGCTGCCAGGCGGGGATGTCCTCCGGCCACATCTGGCGGCTGTGCGTGCCCAGCTGCTGCCCGGCTGTGCAACCGGAGCTGCACGGACGCGTTCTGCTCCGGCCGGAATCCCTCCCCGGCGGGGAGGCTGTGCCTGTTGAACACACACAAACACACACAAACACGCACAAACACACACAAACACGCACAAACACGCACAAACACGCACGCCTGTACCTGTACCTGCCCTCCCGCTGCTGGCAGATCCTCCCTGGCCACCCGGCGAGTGACAGCTGTGTCACCGGGGCCACACTCACTCTTCTCAGCCCCTGGGTGCTGTCCTGGAAGTGCCAGCCCACCCAGGGGTGCTGGGACTGAGGGGTCACAGCTGCGCCCCAAATTCCACACCCCCCTCGAGGCTCTCAGGAAAGGGAGACAGCCAGGCAGTACACTATAAATATAAGTTTTATTGATGTGTGAAACCCAACAAGTACAGCTGGCATCTCGGGAACACCGACACAAACCAGAGCATCTCCTCCTGCCCAACAGCTCCCGGGACCCTCTGGGCACTGGCGAGCAGCAAGCTGGCAGCTGGCACCCCGTCCCTGCGGGGCACTTACCTGCGTGTGCAGCCCAGCCTGCAGAGCCCAGGGGAACCTCCACCCTGCCTGGTTCCTGCCAGGCTGCAGCTATGCCCTGGTCCTGCTTCACAGCCTCCTCCCAGCAAGGCAGAACGAGCTGGGCAAATGCCCCCCGGGGCAGCTGCCACAACAGAGCTGTGCCAGCAGCCTGCCTCGGCCTTTGAGCTGGTACCTGCATCTTATTTTGGCAGGCTGTCCCAGGGAGAAAGCAGCTCACACCCGTGCTCGTGTGGAAATGTGAGTTTCAACGCCTGCTCTTCCCTGCGTGGTGCCCCCCTGGATCACACACACGTGTCCCCAGTGTCCAGCCTGGTGTCCTGGCACGGCCAAGGCTGGAAAACCACAGGGTCCAGCGTGGCAGGGACACAGAGAGCCCAGGCTGCCCGTGCAGAGGGACAGGACAAATGGTGTCCGCACACAGTGAGAAGGAAACACTGTTTTATTGCCTGATTTGGGAGAGGGGTGAAACCCTGGCAGAAGCCCCATCCCCTCCCTGTTCTAGCCCAGTCTCCCCTCCAGCAAACCCCAGCCAGGTGATGAAGCGTTTGCTCTTCTTGTGCGTGTGACAGAGGTGGCCTGGACATGCATGGAGGTGAGTGGCCATGCCCCTGCCTGCCTGCCTGCCACCAGAGCACCCCTGAGAGGCAGAACCCGATACAGCCGTGGGCCAAAGGGGCTGGAGCAGTTTTTGGTAGGTTGAGGCTCAGCTGGTGTTCCCGGCGAGCCAGAGCCACAGCCTGAACCCCACCCTCATCCACTCAAAGTGCATCACAAGGGAGGGCAGGGGCAGGAGAGGACGGGAGGTGTGGGGGAAGAAGCCTGCTCTCCTCCATCACGCTCCTCGTGATTATCCAGACGCGTTCTCTCGGGGCATTCCTGCAGCCAGCAGTGCCCACGGCTCCGCTTCCCTGCTCTGATAAAGTGCATCCTTGCTGCTTCCCTAAGGGCCCCCTGGAGCAGGGTGGCTGCACGCCGTCCCTCTGCCATGCCTGGGCAGAGAAAACCCCTCCTGCAGGGCAGGGACCACCCAGGCCACAAACCCCGGGGTGCCCAGCCCAGCCCTGCCAGCCTCGGGCTCAGTGCAAACGTGCTTCTCCTCCTCTCATTTCCCTGCACCTTCCACCCCCTCTGGGGCTGTCCTTGAGGGCAGGGAAAGGACAGTCTCAGCTCCTCAGGCAGCACTGAGGGTGCCTTTGCCCTGTGCCACTTCCCCCTCTCATCACCCCCTTCATACCAACACATTCACGGGTGTCCTGCTGCCCCGGGCACGAGCAGCCTGCCCCATCACCCCCACTCCCCAGAGCCCTTGCCCAGCTCGGGGACAGCCATCCTGCAGCTCCAGGCTTTGTCCTGGCCCTCTGCCCCGCAGTGGCCACGTACCTGGTGAGCTGGGACACTGCAGCTCACGGGCACAGGCTGTGCTGAGCCCTCCTGGACATCCCGGGGGTGCTGCCAGCTGCCCCACCCCAGGCAGGCTGGGCCCTGCAGTGGGAGCCACCTGCCCTGGCAGCGCTGCTCCGAGCTGGGGAAGCCTGCAAGCAGCAGAGCCTGGTCAACAAAGCTTCCCTGTGCCAGGGGCAGGCACTGGTGCCTGCTGGGAGCCCCTTTGCTCCACACACCAGTCCATCTTGTCCTGCTCCTCCTGGGAGGGGTGGTGGCCCTGCTGTGATGGCACAGGGGTGTCCAGGTGTGCAGGACACAGCGCTGGGGACGGCAGCACCCCCAGGGTGCAGAGGACAGGACCCACCATGAGAGCCCCAAATGCCAGGGGGGAAGCAGGAGCTGTGCAGAGCTGCCCCAGTGCCACCTCCTGCACCTCAGGATCCATCCAGGGAAAAGCCTCAGCCCAGCAGAGCACGGACTCGTCCCAGCCCAAGAGCAGGACAGCAGCAGGGCATCATTCCCAACAGCTCCAGGGACAAGGAGATGGACGAGGGTGACACCCCACGTCCCCCAGCTCCCTGCACCCCGTGACAGAGCAGGCACAGGGTCTGTCCCCACTCCTCCGTGCCCCTGTGGCTGTGGGTGGCAGCACTGCAGCCCTCCAGCTGGCACAGCTCCACTGCAGAGCACGGCACTGGAGGAAGATCCAGGAGCAGGGGGACAGTGAAAAGTCAGACAACAGCCCTGGGGAAAACCCCGATTCTCAGCGTGGGAAGGGCAGCAGGGTGTGTCCTGCTTCCAGACCCTCTGTGCAGGACAGCCCCACGGCCAAACATTCCTCGAAGCCCTGCAGGCAGGGGAAACTCAGCCTTGCTGAGTGCCAGCATCAGTGTCAGGCCAGCCAGACTCTGCTGCACAGCCCCAACCCGAGCCAGCAAAACCAAAGACCAGCGTCCAGGATTCTGCTGGAATCTGGCAATCTGCAATCCCTGGCGGCTCAGAGTGCCAGCAGCACGATCCCCAGGCTGCCCTGAACCAGGGCCAGCCTGCCAGGGTGGGGCAGGGCTGCCTCCCCCACGTCCACGCTTGCCAGAATCCTGCGGGTTGCCACATCCGTGGGTGACACTCACAGCCCAGTGCCAGCACGCCCAGGGAGCTGTGCTGTGCAGGTGAGCACGGTGCTGTGTTCCCAGCATGTGCAGATGCCCCAGCAGCTCTGGGCTCAGCTCAGTTCCTCTGGAGAGCCAGCAAGGTGCTGAACTGCCTTCCCTCTGCGGGGTGTGCGAGTTTGGAGCAGCCACCAGAGACACCAGTGCCAAAGGGACCTTCTGGTGCCAGTCACTTCCCGGTGTCCGGGTCACCCACTGCAAACAAACCAGCTGGGATCTCACCTGTTTCCAGTTCAGGCACTGCGGGACCCCCTTCTGCACAGTGTCACCCTGGGGCTGGCACTGTGACAGGCCGGGTGTCCTTGGTGTCCCCTCCTTGCACAGTCGGTGCTGAGCGAGGCTCGTCCATCCCGTCCTGCTGAGACAGCCCCGGTGGAGCTGGGGGAGAGAGGCTGCAGGGAAGGGCTCAGGGCCAGCTCTCCTCCTGCAGCAGAGCCTCCAGGGTGACACAGCTGAGCCCAGCCCCGTTTTTCAGCCTCCTGGCAGCGTGTGGGAACCCAAATCCTCCTTGCTCCATGCAAGTCACTTCTCTCCGTGTTGGTTGAATTGGTTCAGAGCCTCCTGTCTCAGACCCCAGAGACAACAGGGACTGAATGTGACTCCCCAAGGTCTGAGAACACCGTCCTGCTCCCACAGACCCTGGTTTGAAGATCCCATCTCTGAGGGTGATGTCCCAGCAGGAGTCTGAGACAGAGCCCCAAGTCCTTCTCTGCCTCTTTGCTCCCTTTGCTGGGATGCAGTGGGGCTTGTGGGGAACAAAAATAAAGAAAAAGGAAAAAAAAGAAAAAAAAAGGAAGATTTGCACAGAAAGGAAAGGGGGATGCAGCAATCTCTGTGGCTACAGCGACAGGAAACTCTAAAGCCTTGTGCACTCCACCTATGGCATCTTTGGGCTCTTCTCAGCACTGGCCAGGATGAGGAACGGGGCCACCAGCAGCTCTTCCAGCTCTGCAGCTCTCTCCTCCCAGCCCAGCACGGAGCAGGCTCCTCGGCACAAAGCCCTGGGCTGGACTGTCCCTGGTGTCCCCAGGGCAGCGCCAGGCAGGGACAGGAGGCGACCCAAGCTCCGTGGGGCTCGTCAGTCCTGGGGGGGAGAGTGGCACGTGCCAGGGCTGTACAAAACGTTTTGCAATGAAGAGTGTGTGGAAAGGTTAAAACAGTTCCGAGATGTCTCAAAACCCTTCTCGACTGAGCCAGGCCTGGCTGGCACCTCCCAGTGCCTCCGCCACGGTCCGGGACCTGCAGGAGCACCGTGTCCATCTGCAGAACATCTCTCACAGCAGGCCAGGCCCGGGAACGGCACCGGGGCCCCACGGCCCCTTTATCTCTCAGATTTCACCTTGTACCTGAGCACCAGGTAAGCCAGGAGCCGCAGGATGACGAAGAAGATGCCCAGGATGAGGAAGTCCAGGTAGAGCTTGGCCTCCTCCACGTCCAGCTCCTGCAGGATCTTGATGGGCTTTTGGAAAGGGCAGAAGTCCTCGAGGCACTCCAGGTCCTCGCGCTCCATGGCGTAGATGGTGAGGATGACCCCCTCGAAGCCATACCTGGGCCAGAGCACACCTGAGGGTCACCAGGGGCCCCAGGGGAGCCCAGGACGGGAGCTCTGGGCAGAGCTGGGGCCCACCTGACGTAGGAGACGTAGGAGCTCCACTGCAGGTAGGTGGGGATGGTCTTGAAGCTGACGAAGAAGCCCGAGAAGAGCAGCACGGGGATGGCAGTGACGGGTCCCACAAAGGTGGCCACCTGGGGAGCAGAGGCCACTGGGGGTCACGTCCCTGCCCACCCGTGGGCAGAACTTCACCCCAAACTGCCACAGGGCAACTCTGCACAGAGAGGCAAAGCCCCGCCAGACCTGCAGGGAAGTGGAGGCAGCTCCGATGAGCAGCCCGAGGGACTGGGCCACCAGGGCCGTGGCGGTGGCCAGGGCGGAGAAGAGCAGGAAGCGCGTGGCCTCGGGGGGCTGGCCCGTCATCCAGTACACGATGCTGCAGTAGGCGATGGGGCAGATCACCTGCACGGGGACAGGGACAGCCCTGCTGGGCCCCACGGCCATCCCCACCCCGCCACGACCAGCCTGGGGCTCTGGGCAGGGAGTGGCTGTGCCAAGGGTGGCATATCAGCGTCAGGGTGGTGACAAAACGCACAGGAAGCTCACCTGGAAGGGCACGTCTGCCATGGTCTTTGCCAGGTAATAGGCTTTGAGGCTGTACCAGTAGTTCAGGTGCTCCCTCAGGAACACGGTCATCTCCTGGGGGACTGCAGGGAAACAAGGGGTGAGCAGCCAGCAGCTCTCTGCCCCGGGGGGCTCCAGCCCCTCTCACACCCACCCTGCAGGGGGATGAACCAGGTAACCCCCTGCCTGCAGCATGGGAGGGTGCCCAAACCTTCGTTGGGGAAAAAAATCAGTGACTGATGTGGGAAATTCCACGTGGAAAAGTCAGCTTGGGTGGGGCTTTTTACAGATTTACACACATTTTCTCAGATTAAAAATAAAATGTTAAAATTCCAGCATTCTTCTTTGAGCCAGCAGGGGTCAAATAGCCAGATTATAGCCAAATAAAGGCAAATACAGGCAAACAGAAAGTTTTCCCCTGTTCGTTCATTTTTTTTCTCTCCTCTCTTATTTTGCCCCTTTTGCCCGCTCCCTCTGGCTCCCCACACCCTGCCCAGCACCCTCACTCTGCCACGCAGCTGGGGCACCCCCAGAGCTGGATTTTGGGGGCAAGGGGCTCCTTACAGGTGAGGATGGTGGGCATGAGGGCGGCGAACATGAGGAAGAGCATGGAGAAGAAGAGGAAGCCGGTGTTGTTGAAGACCTTGCCCGCGTCGTTGCCGATGTGCAGGTAGAGCAGCCCGATGAGCACCCCGATGCAGATGTGGGACATGAACCGCAGGTGGGTCAGCACCTGCGGGCACAGCGGGGCTCAGCAAGGCAGGGCTGCCCCCCAAAAACACCCCAAGGGGGCAGAGCACGGCCCGTGGAGCTCCTTGTGGCTGCCAGCCCCCAAAGAGGCCAAGCCCAGCCCCTCCTGGCCTCACCGTGTCCCGCAGGATGCAGATGAAGGTTCTCTTGAAGAGGATGCAGAACTGAGTGGAGGTGCTGGTGGCAAACGTGTGGCTCTCGATGTGATCCACATCCTGCAAGAGCACGTGGCTCAGGCTGACCCCACGGGGCCCCTGCTGGCACTGGAGGCTCCTCTGAGCACGGGGACGTGGCTCAGGCTCACCCCACAGGGCCCCTGCTGGCACGGGAGGCTCCTCTGAGCCCCACTCACCGTCCCACACGTGGGGCACGACGAGTCTGCCTTGTCAGGGCTGCTCTTCTTCTCAGCCATGGTGCACATCCCGTTCTGGACGGCGCGGAACAGGACGGGGTTGAGGTCCCCATACTCTCCTGAGGCCACCTCGATGACTGTGGAGGAGGACAGGAGCCCTGAGAGGTGCTGAGCCCGCCAGCACCCAGCAGGAGGGGCACAGGCATCTCTCCCTTGGGCAGCCCCCAGGGTTGGGCACTGGGTTTGGAGCTGGCCACCCTCTGCACTCACTGAAGTCAGCGGGGTTGTGGTAAGTGGGGCAGTGCAGGCCGAGCCCCTTCAGGTAGGGGATGAGGTTGGTCACGACGCCCTTGAAGATGCACTGGCCCTGGCTCAGGATGTAGAGCTGCAAGAGGAGACCAGGATGTGGCAGGTGCAGGGCAGCCAGGGCACTGTCACCTGCTCCTGCCACCTCCCTGGCCCACGGTGACACAGGCCACAAAGCCCCAGCACTGCAGCCTGCAGCCCACCCCTGCCATGGCCTCCCTGCTGGTCCTGGGGGCAGAGGGACCCTGCCCCAGGCCAAACCTTGTCGAACATCTCGAAGAGCTTGGCGCTGGGCTGGTGGATGGTGCAGATGATGGTGCGGCCCCCCTGAGCCAGGGAGCGCATCAGGGACACCACCTGGAAGCAGGAGGCACTGTCCAGACCGCTGCGGCCACGCAGGAGGAGGAAGAGACAGCAGAGAGACAAGGGGAGGGTTGAGAGGGGGAGAGGAACATCCTCAAGATGCCCCCACTTGCCTCCCCTCGTGTCCACCCTCAGATCCACGCAGAAGAGCATCGTCCCCAGGGGCACAGTGGGCACCAGAGGGCACTGGCCACGCCAGCAGGGGCTGCCCAGGTGGGCGGGCAGTGCTGGGAGCCCCTGAGGCCTCACCTGGTGGGCTCATCGAAGAACATGACGGGGGGGTTGTTGACCAGCTCCAGGGCGATGGCCAGGCGCTTGCGCTGCCCCCCCGACAGGGAGCTGGTGCGGGTGTAGGAGCACTCCAGCAGCCCCAGGGCCGTCAGGATCTCGTTCACCTGCCACACAGACAGGGTTTTTCATGGACTTTCATCCCAATCCTGCCCCCTTCCTTCACCCTTGCCGTGCCCTGCTCCCCTTGTCCCCATTTCGGGGAGAGCTGAGGGGGTCTGGGCTCACCCTCCTCAGCCCTTACCAGCTCCTTCTTCACCTCCTGCTTCTCGCTCAGCTTCAGGTTAGCAGAGACCTGCAGGGAGAGGATGGCCAGGGAGACAAGGCTGTCAGATGTAGGGAGCAGAACTGGCTGCACCGTGGCTCCAGCCCCGCCTGCTCAGCATGAAGGGAGCACGGGCAGCAGGATTTTGTTCCCTTGGAGGTGCCCGAGGCCGGTGTGAGCTCAGTGCCCACAAGGAGACAGCCCACAGGATGTCCCCGGAGCTCACCATCATGGCCTCGAGCACGGTGAGGTGTGGCAGCAGCATGTCATCCTGCATGATGTAGCAGGACATCTTGCGGAAGGTGCGCAGGTCCCGCGGCCGCCCGTTCACCAGGATCTGCCCCTTCATGCCAGTCTCCCTGCAGGAACGGGGCAGGCGTGGGGGCTGCAGCGCAGCCCTGCACCCCCAGCCCCCCTGGAGCCCCCTGACCCACCTGTAGCCAGCCAGGATGTTCATTAGTGTGGATTTCCCAGCTCCCGAGGGGCCCATGATGCCAATGAGCTCCCGCTGGCAGAACTTCCCTGACAGGCATTTCAGGAGAGTCTTGTACCCTGCAGGGACAGAGCACCGGGGTTTGGCCTCCCAGGGCAGGGATTGCCGTGCCATGCCAGCTCCTGGGGCACCTCAGGAGCCCCGTGTGCCGTGCCAGGGGCTGTGTGTGCTCCGTCAGCATCCCCTGGCACAGCAGCTGCCACCTCCAGCACCATCCCTGCCCCTGGTCCTGGGCTGATCCCACTGTGCTGAGGAAGCTCCTGACCTGGATCACAGCAACGAGCAGGGAAATCCCGGGGTCAGGTCACAGAGCTGCTGAGGGACATTACCCCTGTGACACTGCTCTGGGCGTGTCTTCAGATGCTGATCCCCAAGGGCAGGGGGAGCAGGGCAGCAGGAGGGGGCAGGATTCCCGATCCGGCTGCTGCCTTCATTGGCATTCACGCCGTGGCACCCGGCAGCAGCCGCTGCTAATCAGACCTGGAATTATCTCTGCTTTAAACGCGGCTGATTAGCATTTTCTGGCAGAGGGAACATGATGTGTCGGGAGCAAGGAACAAGCACAGCCTCAGGCTCTCAGGAGCTGCCCCTGAAATGGAGCCCTGGCTGGACAGGAATTGCTTTTGGGGGTGATAACCCCACGGAGCCAGCCTGAGCATCCCTCCGATGGAATTGTGTCCCCACCGGGACAGCTGCTGTGGGGAAAGGACAACAAACCCCAGCTGGGGCAAGCCCAGGGACGGAGCACCGACAGCCCCGAGCCCTGGGCTCGTCCACCCCCAGGGAAGGTCGCCCAGCCCCGCAGCCCCCCGCACCCCTCGGAACCCCGCAGCAGAAGGGGGTCCCGCGGGCAGAGGGGCGGCCAGAGGAGGGGAGGGGGCTGCGCAGGGTGGCCAGGGGCGAGCAGAGCCGGCAGCTCCCCCCGCGGCTCCGCACCGCGCATGCTGCTCACGTCGGCGCCACTGCAGCTTGCGCAGCGGTTACTCACGTTCATTGACTGCCAGTAACCTCCTGCTCAGCGCCGCGGGCCAGCCGGGGCTGGGGGCTGTGGCCAAAGCCACCGCGACCCCCGCCAGCCCCGCCTGAACCGGGGGAGGAAAGCCGGCTCCCTCCGCCCTCCCTCCCTCCGCCACGCCCGGGACCCCCGGAGCCCTCGGCTCGCTCCCACCTTGCCGAGCCTCCCCCCCTCCCTCCCTGCAGGGCACTGGCCCGCTGGCAAGCAGCCGGATCCCTCCTGGGTGCTAGAGAACAATCCGCCCCGGATTGTCATGGATCCTTCTGGGATGCTTCCTCAGCATCCCGGATAAACAGAGGCACCATCCCGGCGGGTGTCAGGGCTGCTCCCGGGGTGTTTGGGCGCCTCGGATTCCCGAGCTGCACAGCCTGGGCACGGGGCAGAGCCCCATCGGGCACTGCTGGCTGGCAGAGCCCCTCACCGAGCCCTGTGACCTCGGTTCCTGCTCGTCCCCGCCTGCCTTCAGCTGCTACAGATCTGCTCACCCTCCATCTTATCGGGCTGCCTGATTGGCATCCCATTAACCGAGAGCGCTAATTAAAGCAGACTACCACCCACCAGCCGCCATCTGCCTCCCCCTCCCCTCCCCGAGCTCTCGGCCAGAGCCGCACGCAGGGAAGGGGGCCACGGCCGGGCTGCCCGGGGAGAGGAAATCCCCCACAAACCACACCTTCTCCTTGCCAGGCTCGGGGCTGGGCGTCCTGCTGCATCCCACACAGCCATGACAGCAGTGCTGGGGAACTCATCCCATCCATCCTGCCCCAAACAGCAGTGCTGGGAAACCCAAACCATCCATCCTGCCCCGAATAGCAGTGCTGGGGAACCCATCCCACCCCATCCCATCCCATCCCACCCCATCCCATCCCGTCCTGGCAGGCCCAGGGTGTCTGCCCTGGCCAGAGGTTTCCCTGGAATGCGCTCTGCCTTCCCCTGGCACTGCCCAGCACAGGAGCCTCGCCTCCTCCTCCCACGGGCACCCAGAGCAAACCCCCCTGGCACTCGGACAGGGCAGGGTGAGGCCGTGGCGTGCAGAACGGGGTGGGAGAGCCCTGCAGCCCCCCTGCCCTGCCCGCCCTTCCCTGCTCCTACCTCTCTTCCTCCACCAGGATCCCTCCCGCACGGAGTAGGACAGGTCGATGAACTCGATGTTGACAGCCGAGCGCTTGGGGAGGTGGGAGAACCTCTGCGCCTCCGTGATGTGGTTCTCCACCTTCTTCAGGTGCGTGGTGAGCAGCGGGGCGTCGGGCGGGCCGGCGTGGCACACCGTGTCCTCCAGGGCGATGGAGACGCAGGCGGGATCCATGCCCTTCTCCGCCATCCTGCCGCTCTGTGGGGAGCGCACGGGGATGGGCTCCCTCCTGCCGGCGCTGCAGCCAGCCCCGTCTCTGCCGCTCCCGCTGGCTCCAGGCCTCGCTGTCCCCCCCGCCCCGCCGGGGACAGCACCCGCATCAGGCTGGGGATGGAGCCGAGCCTGCACCAGGGGCGAGGAGCAGCAGGATTTTGTGCAGCTCCGCTGTCAATAATTCATGCAGCTCCTGCGCCTTGGTCCAGCTCAGCTCCCCCAGCCCCGGGGGGGCCCTGCCCCGGTCCCTTTTGTCCCGGTGGGCTCAGGGAGGGAGCTGGGAGAGCTGATGTCCTGCCCTGTGCCTGGATGTCCCCAAGGACTCACCAGGAAGCAGCCCTGCTCTGGCCTTGTGGGACACAGGTATGAAATCCTAAACGAGCAGATGATTCCAGCGGTTTCTTGGACAAAGCACGCCGTGCTCCTGGGGCAGAGCAGCCCCGGGCACATCAGACCCTCACACAGCGCCTGGGGTCCCCTGGGCTGCTGGGAGACCTTAACAGCGCAGGGAGGGGGCCCTGCTGCTGCCATCCCTTCTCTGCCTTCCTCGGCTCACCCTTTCACCTTCCGGGCTCTCTCAGCACAGCCCGGGAGGCCAGGCCGGCGCTGAGCCGGGGCCGTGACAGAGCTGTCAGAGCCGCCCCAGCCCTCCCTGCCCGCAGCGCTCCGCGGCCGAGCTCCGGGGGACTGCGGTGCCGGGGGATGCTGAGCGGGCAGGGCGGGGAGCCCCGGCTCCCAGGGGCTCCCAGAGGCTCGGGGATCCCCCCGGCAGCAGCAAAAGGAGCTCGGGCTGTGCCGGAACGAGCTGTGCCCTGCATCCCTCTCGCCACCCAGCCGGGGGTCCCAGCGCCTCGCTAACCTACATTCAGGGGGCTGCGGGCAGCGGCTCGCTGCGGCTGCAGCGCACACACGGTCCCGGGCAGCTGCGGGAGATCCCCCCAGCCCAGCCCCCGCCGCGGGCAGACCCCGCTCGGCGCTGGAGGGAAGCCAACCCAGCCCCGGGCAAGGAGGGGTGGGGGTCCCCAGCACCCGCGGGGTGCAGAAAAGCGGGGTTCGGGGGGGTGGTGGGGGGCAGCGGGCTCGAAGCGCCCTCGGGCTCACCTTGACTCCTCCGGCTGGGCGTCCGCGGAGCGCTAAATCCCGCAAGCCGCTCTCCGCGGCTTAGCCCAGCCCCGAGGCGCGGGGTGGGGACGGCAAGGCTTTGCCCGAGGATGCTCTTCCTCCATCCCCGGCCCCCTCCATCCCCAGCCCCCCCGGCCCCGCGGAGGCTCCCGGCTCTCCCGCAGGCTCACCTGGCAGGGTGCGGGGCGGCGGCTCCGCTCCCGCAGCGCCCCCGCCGCGCCTCCTCCGCAGACAAAGGGGCGATGCCCGGGGGGCCCGGGCTCGGCTCGGCTCGGCTCGGTTGGGCTCGGTTCGGCGCGGCTGCGGCGCTCAGCGGCGGGAGCCGGGCTGGGCGCTGCCCGGCCCGGGTCTCCTCCCCATCCCTCCGCGGGGCTGGGCGGGCAGGGCGGGCGGGGGGCGCTCCGGCCGCAGCCCGCAGTGGCTAGCAGGAAGCCCGCAGTGGCCAGCAGCCCCCCGGGCCGGGCTGCTCGGGGGGGGCCCTCTCCGCCAGCCCCGGTGCTGCCGGGCGGGGAGCGGGATGGGCGGCAGGATGGAAGGATGGATGGAGGGATGGATGGGCTGCCCGGGCGGGCAGCGCTGCCAGGCAGCGAAAAATCCTCTTAAAGGGACCGGCCCTATTTCCTCTCGCTGCCTGCCAGCAGGCCCCGAGCATCCCTGAGCGCAGCCCGGGCTTTGCCAGCCCTGCCCCCGCACCCCCTGCACCCCAGGGACACAGCCCCCGCACTGCCAAACCCCCCGAGGGAGCCCAGCCCACCCTAAAGCTGCTCCTGCCCTGCACAGAGCCCTGGGCAGACCCCCCAGCACGGGCACAGCGGGCAGCCAGGGCTGGCACGGCTTGGGACAGCCAGGGGGGTGACAGCTGGTCACAAAGGGGGCTGTCCCTCCGGGGTTTCACCCCCAGCACACCCTCCCGGGTGCAGCTGGTCCTGCAGCTCCCCTGCAGCACGCCTGGCTCCCTCCTCGCTGTTACTCACACCTCGCACCCACCACAGCACTTAAACGCCAGAGACATATGGAAATGAGTGGCACCGGCAAGAGTATTAATTAAAAATGCATCTGTTGAGCCAAGGAGAGCTTTCCCCACCCCCCTGGCAGCTTGGGGCTGGGACAGATCTCAGGGCAGGATCCAGGCTGAGGAGTTCAGGGAGGGCACAAGTAGCCAAGCTCCTCATGGAGGTCCTAAGTCATCTTGTCCTGGAGCACAAGGCAGGTGGGACTCACTGAGCTCTCTCTGCACCCAGCCCTGGGTCAGTCCCCCTGTGCAGGTCGCAGCCCTGCAGGGAATGGCCTGGGGGTGACCTCAGGGCTGCCAAACCCCTTTCTGCTCAGCTGGGCCCATGAGGGTGGCCATGAAGCACCCAGCAGTGCTGGGGAGTCATTTCAGGGTGGGAGGAAGCAGGGATGGAGCCCAGTGCCACGGGGACATTCACATCCCTCTAATCCCCAGCTGTGGCCTTGTCCACAGCTGTGTGCCCGTGGGGGCTCGCTTGCTCAGGACAGTGGCAGAGGGAGCCTGTCCTGGTTCTGTCACCTGTGCTCAGGGCTGCAGGGACAGAGCAGGCAGCAGAACCTCTCTGCATGGCAGGAAAACCTGTGGGTTCCCTGCAAATATATTTTTAATGACCCGTGGCTGGTCCTCCAGGACCCTCAGCAGTGCCATCACTTGTTGCTCCAGGACACAAAACAACACGACATGGACACGCTGTTGTTTTCAAGGGAAAAATGGAAGTTTATTTTCTCACTCCAACATTTATAGATTTCCAAAGGTGACAGTGGAATGGAGGGTGACAGTGCCACCTCTCCAAACTTAGACAAACTAACAGCTTATTAAATTTCTCCTCCTCCATAAAAGAATGCAAAACAATAAGTTGTTTACAGAAAGTGTGTGAGAAAGTTTGCTACAAGTATGCAAACATCAGAAGGCTTAGAAAATCTTAAAAAATCCAAGTGACAATCACCTGTGCCCCAGACCACCCTCTCCTTCCCTGGGGGAATAAAACTGCTTCCATGGCTGCTTTGAGGAGCCAGAGATGTCCTCAAGGGGCACAAAGCTGGAGCCACATCTCCCCATTTGTAGTCCCATGCTGGTGGGAGGAGAAACCCCTGTGGAAAGGGACTCTCAGGGCAGGAGCACGACCAGCAGCCAGCAGGAAAGATTTTCCACCTGGGAGGTGAGACCTTTCCCCCTCTGCAGTCTCAGGGAGGCTGCAGGGCAGTTTGATTCCTCAGCAGTGGGTGCTGCAGCCCTGGCCAGGCTGCTCCGTCCCTGCCATGGGGACAGGAGGCAGATGCCACGCTCCTGCTGGCCTCAGTGTGCTCAGGGGGCAGCTCCACCTCCCAGCTCAGGCCTGGAATTCCCTGGCACGGAGAAACCACAGCCTGCAGCACTGAAGGACAGGTATTTCCACCAGGCACAGGCGCTGCCTCCCCCTAGGAGGGGCTCTGGGAAGCAGCTGGGAATTGGGTGCTGGCAGCCCTGTCCCAAGCCCTGCTGCAGGAAACGCCCCCAGATCCCAGCAGCTGCTGCTCCCAGAGCACCCCCGGCCCTGGGGAGCCTGGCATGAGCCACCCTGGCAGAGTGAGCGCAGAACCCTCAGCTGGCAGCCTCGGGGCACGCAGAGCCGCTGGAAGGAGCGCAGCAGTGACGGGAGGCAGCCCCGGGCTGGGAGCCCCCCGCAGCCCCGGCCGCCCCAGCTCTACCTGGAAGCACCTGAGGAGAGCAAAGAGAGCGGATTTTGAGCTGTTTGCAGCTCCCATCTCCCAGCGCCAGCCCTCCCTTCACACAGGGACACTCGGGCGGGCAGTGCCAGCAGCGGGACCCACCGCAGGGCACGTGGCAGTCGCACTCGCAGATGTCACAGCGCTGGAACCAGCGGGGCCAGCCCGACAGCTTGGTGGCACAGGCGGAGACCCTGATGCATCCTCGGCTGAGGGCGGCTCCCGGGGGCGCGGGGCTGCCGCAGGACGAGGAGCAGCCTCCGGTCAGCTCCCGCTCGCTGATCTCGATGCGGCCGCGCAGGCAGATCCCTGCGGGGCACGGCCCATCACGGGGGGCTCACCCGCACCAGGAGGGCTCGGGGCCCTGCCCGCAGCGGCCGGGCTACTCACGGAGGCAGGAGGGCTTGGGGGTCCAGCGGCCATCGGGCTGGCAGGCGCTGGCGGGGTCCCCCAGCAGCACGAAGCCGGGCCGGCAGCTGTAGCGCACCACGGAGCCCACCCACCAGTCGTTACCGTGCACCACCGAGTTAAAATCCGCCTCGGGCCGCCCGCAGTTCACTGCACACAGGGATGCAGGCGGGGATGGCAGCTGGGCAGGCTGCTGGCCGCGGGGACAGCGCAGGGCTCACCACACAAGGCAGCGTGGCACAGAGCATCCCCAGCGATCCCGCGGGTTTTACCTCTGCAGAAGGACTTGTAGCCCAGCCAGCAGCAGCTGCCGTTCCCGCACTGGCTCCTCTTCAGCTCCTTGTGCCGCCCCTTGCAGCCCCCCAGGCAGATGGGCGCCGTGCCAGACCAGTACGTGTCCAGCTCTGCTGGGGCCAGCGGGGACAGCGACACCATGGCCAGGGCTTGCCCAGCCCTCAGAGCCCACAGGGCGGTGCTGGAGCCCGCAAAAACCCGTCCCATCCCGTCCCGTCCCACCCCATCCCGTCCCATCCCATATCCCATCCCATCCCAAATCCCGTCCCATCCCATCCCAAATCCCATCCCATCCCATCCCATCCCATCCCATCCCATCCCATCCCATCCCAGCCCTGCTGTGAGCACACCCACTCACACCTCAGCTCCCACGTCCCCTGTGCCTGTTCTTGCTCCTTACTGGGCAGGACTGGTGCCAGCTCTGGGGCACCCCATAAACCCCCTGGTCCCCCCAGCCCCCTGTTACCTTCTGGCTGCTGGCAGGAGGTGAGCGTGGCCAGCACGGCGAGGAAGAGGAGGCCCAGTGCCATCATCTGCCCTCCTCCCCTCGCCCAGGAGAAAGTGACCTCGGTTTGCACACACACCCCAGGCCCGGGGAGGCTGCAGGGCACGGGGGAAGGAGGACACACTCCCTCTAATGCCAATCCTCTCCCGGCAGATAATCTCTGGCAGATTACCCTGCCTGGGGCCGGGTTTAAAGGGACATCCCAGCAGTGCTGCGAGTGCAAACCTGGCACGGGGCCCCTCTCGAAGGCAGCTCAGCCCAGCTGTGCCAGGCCAGGGCCAGGCTGGGGTGGGAAGGCTGGGCAAGGCAGGGATGCTCTGCCTGCAGCAAGGGGCATCCTCCAGCAGGGTGGGCTCTCAGGAACAGCTCCTGCCCCTCCCGAGGTGCTGGGATCAAGGGTTTACCCCAACACCCCAAAATTCCAGCAGCTTTTGCTCAGCTGCTGGAGAGAGAGCAATGAGGGAAAGTCAGTGCCCAGCCCAGTGCCTCCCTGTGTCCCCCTGGGCACATCAGGGCAGGGAGGGTCTAAATGGCACTCCAGGGACCCCAAATTCACTGTCCTCACCCAGCCACTCAAAAAAGGACAAGCTGGCCCTGCTCACAAGCCCAGGCTGCTCCCTGGATTCAAACAAGGCCTGAGCAGGCAGCAGACAGCCCTGGGGAGGCAGCAGAACTCAGCCCCACTGCAGGAACACCAGTGCCAGAGCTAAACCTGGCCTTCCAGTGCCACCTCTGGGGAGCAGCACAGCGCCAGGAGAGCCTGGCAGCTCCTCAGTGCCCACCTCCCACCCTGCACAGCACAGCTGGCAGGGGTAGGGCCGAGCAGGAAAACACCAGACACTGCTGGGCCTGGCAGCCTGATGTTTATTTGTCTCGCCAAAGAACACTTTGCCCAAGCAGGAGCCCAAACCCCAATGTGGGGAGGACACCCAGGGCATGCCAAAAGCAGCAAGAAGCTCCCAATGTCCCAGTGCTGCACTGGCCTCCCAGAGAGCAGGGCTGGTTATAGGATCAGGGAGCCAAACACCACCAGCAGCAGCAGGTGAGACAGGAAATGTGTGCAGGAAGTGCTGATGAAGGCATGAAACCCCCTGGAAAAGGCATGGATGGGCAGGACAGGCCTGCCAAGGGCCACACGTGCTCCCAGGGAAGAGGCTTCAGCACCAGAGTGTGCTCCACACACCACCCTGCCTGGGGAACAGAAGGGCACAGCTGCTGACCACCCCACCCTGCCAGGCCTAGGCCAAACCTCCCAGAAGGGTGGGAGAAGCTTGACAGGCCCCAATCCCCACAAGGAGGAGGCAGACAGCTCCTTGCAGCTCAGACACACCTGGGGGATGTGTCCCTCCCCTCTCCCCACGCCGACAGAACCAGCAGCCAGCCAGGCTGGGCTGAGGACAGCCCCAGCCCTGTCCCCAAGCACTCCTCCAGCAGCACATCCCCACGAGGCTGAGGCTCTCCTGCAGCAGAGGGGCAGCCCCTCACACGATCTGGATGCCCAGCTCCTCAGCTGTTTTCTGCAGCCTGTCCATGACGTTCTCCTCCAGCTCCAGGCCCGGGGCTGCTGTGGCCTGCTGCTCTGAGGCTGTGCTGGCCAGCACATAATAGACAGTCTCGCTCTGGCCCTGCTCGTTGGTCCTGCTCACCACACGGATGATGGGGCTGCTGGTGCTGCTGTCTCCTTGCTCTGAGGAGGAGGAGGAGGATGAGGAAGCTCCTGGGATGGGGCTGGGCCGTGCTGGCTCAGAGCTGGGAGCAGAGCACAGGGCTGGGGGCGCAGGCAGCTCTGATGTGCTGCTCTCTGCTGGGGCAGGGTTTGCTGCAGGCTCCAGAAGGATGCCCTGCAGGTTGCCCTCGCCCTCAGGCAGCACCACGCACTCGCTGGAGCCATCCAGAGCCTCCCCACGCCTCTCCCTGTCCTTGAGCAGCTGCTCTGTGAGCTCCACGCTCTCGTAGCGCACCAGCTGCAGCCTCATGTAGCCATCCTCGTGCTCCCTGTACCTGGGCACAGACAGAGGGGTCAGCCAGGCACACTCCCCCTCCCAGGAGATGGGCAGCAGCCAGGGAAAGGGCACAACAGCCGAGCTTCCACCCCCTGTGCTGCACAGATGGTGTTTCAGCCCTACTCCCAAAGGCACACCCGTGTGGCAGATTCTGAGCTCTGTGCCAGGCTCAATCCTCCCCAGCCCATCTCCTTCCACCATTCTGTTGCACTGGGAGAATTTCAAGTCCACCCTCTTCCCCTCCCAGCTTTCAGGCTCTGGAAACCCTCTGGATTTCCTACAGGGTGTGCAGCAGAGGATTCTGTCCCAAGATTTCTCTCTCTAGAGGGGAACACCTGGACCTGCTCCCTGCCAAGCTCAGAAGTGTCCCACCAGAGTGATGGCACCACTGCCCTGGAGCTGCCAGCCAGCACTGCTCAGATCCCACTGAACACTCACTGCCCAGTGCCTCCCAGCCACTGGGAAAAGGGTCCTGAACACATTTACAGAAATCACTGCCAGCACAGCTCAGGGTGCACTGGAGAGGAGGCACTGAGGAGCTCAAGGTGAGCAGTACCTGAAGCGAGGATGTCCCGAGGGCCATTTGAACTGGTGCTTCTTCCTGAGGTGGACAGTGAGGTTGTTCCCCCGTGTGAAGCACTTGTCACACACGTGGCACTTGTACCGGGGCTCGGAGTCGCCCTGAGGGACACCGAGAGCAACATCAGCACCCCGCACGTGCAGGGAAGGAGACAGAAACTTCTCTGGGAAGAATGATATGGGGCAATGCCAGTTCCCACCTCGTGGACCTTCCTGTAGTGCAGTTTGATGGAGCAGAGGGAGCGGGCAGAGAAGCTGCAGGCCTCGAACTCGCAGCGGTACGCCGGCTCCTTGCTGTGCGTGTCCAGGTGCTTCCGCAGGTCAATGAGGTTCTTGCAGCTGGAAAAACAACGTGAGGGAACAGAGCTGCAGCACACACACACACAGAGGCCTCTGGGAGGGGTGGGGACAGGGCCCTCACCTGTAGTCACAGTAGTCACACTTGAAGGGGCGCTCCTCGCTGTGCCGGAAGCGGATGTGGTTGCGCAGCGAGGAGGGCAGCGGGCAGGTCATGTCACACAGGGGGCACTTGTAGTGGTTCACTGGGACAAAAACGGGGAGAAACGTCACCCCAGAGCAGGGCAGAGCAGGGGGCTGAGCTGGCAGCAGGGCCCTGCACTCACTCACTCACCATGGTTCCTCATGTGGTCGCGGAGCAGCCGCTCGGTGGCAAACCTCTTGGAGCAGTGGGAGCACTGAAACCTCTGCTCTGCACAGGGGCACAGGAGACACCAGGGCAGGGAGAACAGCACAGAGAGCAGTGAGGAGAGGTGCTCCAGGGGGATGGAAACGCTGGTGGGCAGCCCTGGGTTCCCACAGGAGGAACAGCCTCCAGCCTGCCTCTGCCAGGAGACAATTCCCAGGGGACACGGCCTCAAGCTGGGCCGGGGGAGGTTCAGGTGGGACTTCAGGAGGAATTCCTTCATGGAAAGGATGGTCAGATGCTGGAAGGGGCTGCCCAGGGAGGTGGGAGAGTCCCTACCCCTGCTCAGGACATGGCTGGCTGACAAGGTGAGGCTCAATCCCAGGCTGCCATCACTCAGCAGACACGCCAGGCTGTTCCAAGCCTGGCTCACGGGGCACCTCCAGCCACCCAAACATGCCAGCCCAGCAGTGCCCAGCAGTGCCCAGCAGTGCCCAGCCCCTCCCTGCCCCAGGCCTTACCCTCCAGGGCAGTCTGGCGGCGGATGTGGTCGAAGAACTTGGTGTTGTTGGCAAACATCCCCCCGCAGGTGGGACAGGCCACCACCTTCTCCTGCGTGTGGCTGCGCAGGTGCTCCCGCAGCTTGCAGCGGCCCTTGAAGCTGCAGTTGCAGTCTGGGGAGGGAACAGCACAGCTGAGAGACCTCCCCAGGGACACAGCCTCACTGAACAGCAGCTTCCTCGTCCTGTTTGGGCCAGCAAGGCTCCAAAATGCCCAGAGAGCAGGGGGATATTGGCACGGTGATATTGTAACATCACCAGGGTGGTACTGGTTCTGCCAAGCAGTTAGGGCAATTGCACAAACATGGGAGAAATTAAGGAAAAAAATCAAAATCAAACTAAATCAACCTTTTCTCCAAGGTACTGATTACACATAAATAGGAAGTTCTGTCTGAGCACTCAACTGAGGGAACTTCTGCAGGAATATTTCACTGTCAAAACCATGGAATTTGAAAAGCTGTTTTTGAAGGCCAAGGGGCTCTCTGAGACCTGTTCCCATGTTTGCCACCCAGCCCAAAGCTCTCAGGAGAAGCCCTGCAAGGCCCCACAAACCTTTCCAGCCGCAGAGCAGCACGTGGTTCTCCTTGCCTGCTGCCTTGTACTCGGAGCAGAAGCTGTGATCCTCCACGTGCCGGTAGAACCACTCGGGGTTGTCAAAGGACCTCTGAGGGGAAGGACACACGGGGCAGGGTGAGAGACACCAGGACGAGCTGAGAGGCTCCCACACAGCTCCAGACAGAGCCAGCAGCTCCCCCTTCCCAGTGAGCCCCTGCTCGTCACAGTCACATTCTCTGGAAAAATCCCTTTGCCCAGGATTTATCTCCTGGGGAGCTGAGAAGCCTCAGAAGAAAAGGAAAACAACAATTAACTCATTTGCTTCTCTGCATTTTGCTGTTTTGGAATGTGGGTGGAGTTTGTTTACCCACAGGGGATTGTTTATTGGTTTCATGGGAATTGTTTTTACTTATTGGCCAATTGGGGTCAAGCTGTGCTGGACTCTGGAGAGAGTCACGAGTTTTTCATTATTATCTTTTTAGCATTCTGTAAGTATAACTTCTGTATTCCATAGTTTAGTATAATATAATATAATGTAAAATAATGTAATATAATATAATGTAATATAATGTAATACAATATAATGTAATGCAATAGAATGTAATATAATAGAATGTAATGCAATATAATGCAGTATAATATAATATAATATAATGTAATGTAATATAATGTAATAAAATGTAATGTAATGTAATATAATATAATGTAATGCAATGTAATGCAATATAATGCAATATAATATAATATAACATAATGCAATATAATATAATATACTGTAATATAATATAATGTAATATAATACAATGTAATATAATATAATGCAATATAATGCAATACAATATAATGCAATGCAATATAATGCAATATAATAATATAATGTAATACAATATAATGTAATACAATACAATGCAATATAATATAATGCAATATAATGCAATATAACGTAATGTAATATAATATAATGTAATGTAATGTAATATAATGCAATATAATGCAATATAACATAATGTAATGTAATATGATATAATATAATGTAATGTAATGTAATGTAATGTAATGCAATGTAATGTAATATAATGTAATAAAATGTAATAAAACATAATGCAATATAATATAATGTAACAAAATGCAATATAATATAATGTAACATAACATAATATAGCATAATATAATATAGATATGATATAATATGATATCATATGATACAATATGATGTAATATTATACAATATGACACGATATAATATAATGTTTTAAATAATCAATGAGCCTTTGAGACCCCGGGCCAGCCCCGTCCCCCCCGGCAGGCGGCTCTCACCTCGCAGTACTCCCAGAGGCACAGGAAGCCCTCCTGGATGTCGGGGATGATGTTCCTGCTGTGGCAGCCCAGCTGGCAGGGGCTGAGCTGGGGCTGGCCCTGCAGCGCCCGCAGCCCCCACTGCTTCAGCTTGGTGTGGTAGCAGTGGAACAGCACGTGGCGCAGCAGCTCGGCCGGGCTCTCCGGGCAGCAGAACCCGCAGCCCTGCCACAGGCACGTGTACTCCTCTGCACAGACAGACAGACGGACTGACAGACTGCCGGCTGCTCTGGGCACTGACAGAGAGCTGCTCTGGACACGGACAGACAGACTGACAGCTGCTCTGGACACTGACAGAGAGCTGCTCTGGGACAGACAGACTGACTGACAGCTGCTCTGTGCACGGACAGAGAGCTGCTCTGGGACAGACAGACTGACAGCTGCTCTGGACACTGACAGAGAGCTGCTCTGGACACGGACAGACAGACTGACAGCTGCTCTGGACACTGACAGAGAGCTGCTCTGGACACGGACAGACAGACTGACAGCTGGGCACGGACACACAGACTGACAGACAGCTGCTCTGAACACTGACAGACAGACAGCTGGACACGGACAGACACACGGAGAGCTGGACATGGACAGACAGACAGAGAGCTGCTCTGGACACGGACAGACAGACTGACAGTTGCTCTGGACACGGACAGACAGACTGACAGACAGACAGAGAGCTGCTCTGGACACTGACAGACAGACAGAGAGCTCCTCTGGACATGGACAGACAGACAGAGAGCTGCTCTGGACACTGACAGACAGACAGAGAGCTGCTCTGAACACGGACAGACAGACAGCTGCTCTGGAGCACAGACAGACAGACAGCTGCTCTGGAGCACAGACAGACAGACAGAGAGCTGCTCTGGACACGGACAGACTGACAGCCAGCCCCTCTGAGCTCCCCTCGGAAGCGCAGCCCAGGTCTCCCCAAGCCCACCCAGCTGCAGCCCAAACCCCGCCGTGCCCCCCCGGCCCAGCCCTGCCAGGGCCAGCAGCGCTCTCTGGGCACGAACCCGCAGATCACTGAGGCCGGGCACCCCCGGGCCATCCGTGCCAGCTGTGCCCAATGCCCACCTTGTCCCCAGGGCACTCAGAGCCACCTCCGGGAGCTCCTGCGCCACCCCCAGGGACGCGCAGCCCCTGCCCAGGCCCGGGCACGCTCCCCTGTCCCCGCCGAGCACCCCGCGACACCACTCCAGGGTGTTTCCTTGTTTCGCTGCTCCCCGGAGCGCCGCGCGGCCCTCCCGCACAGCCCCGCACGGCCGTGCCCTCACCCACCACAGCTGCCCCGCGGGGGGCACCGGAGCAGCGACGCACCGCGCGCGCCCGCCCGCCAATCACAGCGGCCGCCGCCCGCCCGCCCGCCAATCGCAGAGCAGGGACGCCCTGCCTGCGCGCGGCGGGAGAGAGGCCCCGGCGGGAAGCAGCGGCGCGGAACGCCGCACGGCCGTGCCCTCACCCAGCGGGTCCGCGTCGCCGCGCTGCTGGCCGGGCAGGGGCTGCTGCAGGTGCTGCGCCGCATGCCCGCAGAACTCCTCCATCCCCGCGGCCGCGAACGAGCACCGCTGCCACTCGCACCGCAGCACCACGGCCGCGCGGCCGGGCGGCATGGCTCCCGGCACCGGCGGGGCTCCCGGCACCGCCCGGGGCCGGGGGTGATGGCAGCGCCGGATCCCGGCCGAGGCTCGAGAAAGGCCGGGCCCGCCAGACGGAGCGCTCCGCACTGCCAAGAACCTCTGCCTGCCCAGCCCTGGAAGTGTCCAAGGTGTTGGGCGGGGATTGGAGCAGCCTGGGGGAGTGGAAGGTGTCCGGTGGAACGGGATGAGTGTTAAGGTTCCTTCCAAACCAAACCGTTCCAAGTTAGTTTTTGGTGCTTCCGGAACAATTCCGTGCTTAAACAAGAGTCCTCGCACTGGAAACCCACCCCTGGGTTGATTCAGGCCAACACTGAAACAAACCCCATCAGTTCTGCAGCTCTTTACAACAAATCAATATTAATAATAATAATAATGATAATGCATCAAATCCTCCCTGCTCCTTCCTGGGATGGAATTAAACACACCCCGACTGCCCCATCTGCTGCTCCAGGCTCTTTGCTACACAAAGCACAGGCACAATTCCCAAAGTTTGCTTTGGCACAGGTAAATGCCTTTTTAAAAGGGTTTGAAAGGCTTCAAACCCCTTTTTAAAAGGGTTCAAACCCCTTTTAGAAAAGGGTTTTAAAGGCTTAAAACTCCTTTTTAAAAGGGTTTTAAAGGTTTCAAACCCCTTTTAAAAGGGTTTTTTAAGGTTTTAAACCCCTTTTAAAAGGGTTTTAAAGGTTTCAAGCCCCTTTTTGGAAGGGGCTCTGCAGAACGTGCCCAGAGCGTGTCGTGCCGACCACAAGAGCTTCTGCAAACCCCACCACAGCCCCAGCTGTGCCCAGCTCCACCAAACTCCCCAGAAAACGTGGGTGTGGTGATTTTTCAGAACAAAACACCAGCAGAGAGGTTTCCATCTCAAAGCAGCCTGGCTGAGCTTTTGTCCTCCCCCTGTTTTCAGTGGAATTCCTTCTGCAGGCAGCACAGGAAACACCTGCACCCCACGGTGGGGGTTTAACCTGAGTGTCCTCACAGCAATGTGCAGCCCAGGAGGTGCCAGGGGGCAGCTGGCAAACGCAGCCCGCTGCTGGCAGAGCAAAACCTGCTCCTTTTTGTGCCACCTTCCACCTGGCCCTGCCCACCTGGTGCTTCCTGAACCTTCTGTCGCCCGCCAGGCAAACCCCCCACAGCAGGAAGGGCTGGGGAAGAATGGAAGGGCCAAAAAAAGCAGCTCCCTTTCCCCTTTTCCTTTCCCCTTTTTTTCCATTTTCAGCCATGAAATGTCAGCTCAGAGAGGCAGGAGGCTCCCGGGGAAGGACCCACACTGACCATGCAAAGCGGAGTGAAACACAGATCCAGGGATTTGCATTTAAGCAAATCCCAAACGAGGTTTGGTGCTGGAGACATCCCTAAATTCTAGAAAAGCCATTTCCGCCAGGCTCAGCTGGAACTTTCCCAGGGAATTATGAGCACAGGCTTCACTCTGCTCTGGGAAGCTGATGAGGGACAGATCTTCCCCAAATCCCTGCAGGATCTGGGAGCTGGGACGGGTCAGCAGCACCAACAATGGAAGCAGGTGAGTCCCAGCAGCTCAGAGCTTCACAAGCTGAGGCATCTTCATGGCAATTTCAGGGAAGGAACAAACTGTGCTGTCCTTGGGCTCCTTTTGAAAAAAAAAAATCCACAAAATTTTCTCTAGAATAGACATGTGACATCTTAAATGTGCCAAGAATTTAATAGTGTCAATTAATATTCTGCCTTCTCCAGACTGTATTTATATTCCTTCACAGTGCAATGCTTTATTTTTTTTTTTCTCTAAAGGCAGTTAGATCAAAGTGATGTGAAATTGGATTCAATTTGCTTGGAAATGATAGAAACTTGGGCCTGAATTAGCATTTTCTTCCCCAGTGGGAAGAAAATCTTCTGCCAGTGGCAGAGTTATCTGAAGTTTTGACAGCCCAGCCTCTGGATAATCCACCGGCAGCAACAGGTTCAGTTGTGTGACACCTTCAGCCTGGGTTAGAGGGCTGAGTGTTGCTGGATTAAAACAATTTGGGCAGAGGAATAACTGGGGATGTGAGTGAAGCCACCTCAACAGCCAGAGCAGCAGAGGGGGGTGGAGGAGCTTTTCTAATGCCTTCAGGGCACAGCAAAGGCGTCAGGAAACCTGCAGAGCACCAGACCTGCTGGAATCCCTCCACCTGTGGGAGCTGATGTCCATTTCTGGCCACTTGTGTTGCTTTTTCTTTTTTTTTTTTTTCCCCTTGGTGCTCTCATCTTCACCTCATTTTTGGGAACCTGTCCCTTGCTTTGTGTTTGCTTTGTGCCTGGCCTTGGCTGAAGCTCTCTGGTCAGCACTCAAAATAAAATTCCACTTGCCCAAATTTGCAGCTGCTATGAACCCAAAAATAATAATAAAAAAAACCCATCTGGGGCATGGCCAAGGTGTTTAAACCCTCTCACCTCCCCTGGTGTGTGTGTGTGCACCTGGGGCCACAATGCCACCGGGAACGGAGCCAAGGGACACATCCTGAGGGGCAGAGGAGCCAAATGCTCAGTGCTGGAGATCAAACAGCTCAGCTGTGCCCTGGCAGTTTGCTCTCCCTCAGCAGAGCGTGCCTCTGTGTTTTCCAAGGGATTAGCTTCAAAGGCAGGGGGGTTTTTTCCGGGATAATTCAACATGGAGACTCCTCCCTGGCTCCGCAGGTGCGAGCTGGGTTCAGCAGGATAAAAGAGCTGTCCCTGCATTGTCCCTCAGCTCTCACCTGTGCCACCGCCTCTGTGCACAGCGTGCACATCCCAACATTCACTCCAATGCCTCGTGGCAAAGCCACCCACAGCTGCTCCAGGGCTAAAAACCAGAGCCAGATGCTGCACGTGCCCCAGCAGGGACCCTTCCCAACAACCTGGATAAAACAGAGCCCCAGCAGCTGCCTGGGCTTGCTGTGGACACAAAACAGGCTGGGCAGGCAGCTGCTTTCTCCTTTGGAGGCTCACAGGAGCCACTCCATCCATCACCCATCCATCCATCCATCATCCATCCATCATCCATCCATCCATCCATCCATCCATCCATCCATCATCCATCCAGGGCATTCCCTGGATCAGAGCAGTGCTGGAGGCAGCAGCACCACGACCCCTGTGCTGAAATGTCAGTGAAATAATATATTTAAATATTTATATGTTCCTATATATTTCATATATTTTAATACAGTTAATATATTTAACACAATTTTAATATATTTAATATATTGAACACAATATGCTATTAATATCAACACATAATATTTTATTAATATTAATAGCATATATATTTATATTTAAAATGTATTTTCTATATTTTCTCTCTATATGTGGGAATATATTTCATATACATAATAATTTCTATAGCTAGAAATATATATATGTCTAGATTACAAATATTTCTGTATTCCTAAATCTAAGAATTGCAGATTTGTGTTTCTCCCTCCCAACCCGATGCACAGAGGTGATGAATTTGCCGCTCTGTGCTTTCCCTGAGCTCTGCACTCCCTCAGTCCCTGCAGATTTCGGCAAGCGGGTGTACCAAGGAGTGCGAGTGAAGCACACGGTCAAGGATCTCCTGGCTGAAAAGCGATCCCGGCAGAGCAGCGGCTCCCGCTTCAGCGTGAGTCCCGTCCCGTCCCGTCCCGTCCCGTCCCGTCCCATCCCGTCCCGTCCCGTCCCGTCCCGTCCCCCACCCCCTTTTTTAACCCATCAAGTCCCTCACCCCACCCTCTACTTCAAAGACAGTTTGGGGCACTGCCAATATTAAATAATTAATATAATGTCCCAAAACATCACTGATGGCTCCTTGATTTTCATATCAATCAACCTTAAATGCCTCAAAGCCCTTTTTTCCCCCACTTTTCAAGCATGGCAGTGATGTTAAATTCCCTTTTCCTTTCACATCCTATTTGTGACACCTTCCTGAGTCAAGTTCCTTTTCCACCAGCTACACTTGGACAAGTCAGTGCCCTGAAAATATCTGTTCTTCCCCGAATGCTGAGCTCCTTCCAGCTCCTCTCAGGGCGCCAGGGGAGCTGCAGGGATGTGATGGGCTGGAGAGAGGCCAAGCATCAGCTTGGAAGAGATGATTTCCTCCTAAAGTGCTTCTATGGCAACAGGAAACACAAGTCCTGCTGCACTACAGTGGTTTTTATTCCTCAATTGCCAGCCAGAAAGAGGCTGTCCCCAGAAGGGGACACAATATTGTGATGGCAGGATGTGGTGGCATCCAGTGGCACGAGGAGCCCTTCCCTGGCTGCTCCTGGCACTCACCTTTGCTGGGCAGCAGCTCCTCACCTCCAGCTGGCTGGGAGCTCTGGGACACTGGCAGAGGAGGAGAGCTGGAGATGTGTCCTACAAGGAGAGGGAGAAATTGGGAGTTCTGATGCTTTTTTCCCCAAAAAAACATTCACTTCTGGCTATTTTTTATACTAGAGAGGCCTCACAGTGACTTATTTTCTGTGACTTTCAGGCCTATTAACTCTGCAACAAAACAATCAGGACAAAAAAACCAAAAAAACAGGATTGGGCATCACCAAACACAGCAAAATCCAGCCACACATCCCTCCCCACAGGCTCCAGCTGCTGCAGGCAGGCAGAACCCCCTGGGCCATGGAAAATAGTCACTGGGGAGTGATATTTAGGAAGAGTTCTTGGGAAGCAGCTGAGAAAACAGCTCCTGTTGGTGCTGTCACCATTGTCCTGCTGCCTCTGTGGAGGCGGCAGCTTCAACAGGCACAGTGGAAACGCCCTGGGAGTGTAAAATGCTCCCTGCTTTATTGCCCTTGGCTCTGTGCTGCAGAGCCCAGCAGTTGTGTGCGTCTGCCTGATGCAAAGCCAGCCCTGCTGCTCATTCCCTGCGAGAGACAAAAAGTGATTGTGCAGGGCAAACATCCGTATTTGCTCGGACACATCATGAAAAGAGCAGCTGGAAGTGCAGCTCTGTTTGTCTGGCAGAATATAACTCAGAAAACAACCCAGAATCAAGGCCAGGGGCAGATGACTGAACACCCCTCTGGCTGTTGGTGATGCAGGGTCATTTG